TATCCACTATTCATAATGCAAATGAGACCAGACAGCAGATTTCCTGATATTCATGCCAATATTCTTTTCCTATCAAACTACCTTTCTTAATAGTATGAGAATGGTGTCCATTTTTCTGGAAATCTCATTTTCATCTGTCAGAATAATATTGTGTTACGTTTTGCTGATTAGGCAATTAAGATATGCTAATGCTTTGAGGCATTCTGGTGAAGATGACTACATAACGTTTAAATGTGGATAATTTTTAAAATTTATTTTATTAATTTTTTATTGTGGAGAAATATATAAAACAAAATATTTGCCATTTGATCCATTTTTCTGTGTACAATAATTACATTTCCATGTTGTGAAACTTTTCCCACTATCAGTTTCAAATTTTTTCATCACCTTCAGTAGAGCCCTAGTGGCATGAGGCTGCTGCTAACCAAAAGTCTGGTGGTTCAGACCCACACTCTGCAGAAGAAAGATGTGGCAGTCCACTTCCGTAACCTGGGAAACCCTATGGGGGCAGTTCTACTCTGTCCTAGAGGGTCTACTATGAGTCGGAATCGACTCGACGGTAATGGGTGTTTTGGTTTTTAACAGAAACTCTTTAAAACTTCCTTAAATCATACCCTTGAGAGCTCAATAGTACAGTTAGAGATTCTTGGACTTTGTTTTGAAAAGACAGCTTCTTTTTTCTTTCCGTTGTTAACCTTGCTCTACCTCTGCAAGCTGCTGTAACTTTTTTATCCTACTAGTGTTTAAGGATTTAGCACTTCTGTGGTGAAATAGGAGCCCTGGTGGCACCGTGGTTAAGAGCTGGCCTGCTAACCAAAAGGTCGGCAGTTGGAATCTACCAGTCACTCCTTAGGAACCCTATTGGGCAGTTCTCCTGGGTCCTATAGGGTCGCTAGGAGTCGGAATCAACTTGATGGCAATGGGTTTGATACGGGTTTTGGGTGGTGAAATGAGTTTCTTTATGTGGCTTTTTGCCTTGTTCTTTAGAAAAACAGCTTGAGAGATTTTTTTCCCTAAGCTCTAAGGAGTTACCTTTGCCCTAGTTTTTTACCCCACAGGGTTTTGTACTTTTATCCAGGTTGATTGACATTTCCTGAGTAAGCTGTAAACAACTTGAGGTTTGATAGTTTTTTCGGACCCTGCAGCCTGCCCTGTGATTGGCCTATTTTACGAACCTTACAGGGATTGGTCAATATACTTAAGCAAATATAGCCTACTATGCACAATACAGTATCTGTGGCCTGCCGAGAGGGGATTGGTCAGTTCATGGCCCTGGTGGGATGGCCATGCCTTGAAATTGACCAGGAGTGTGCTTTTATATCATATTTTTATGCAAATAACACGTGCGTTCTACATTTGTTTGCCAGCCGTGCCCTCCCTCCAGAAAGTATTTTCATAAGCATGCTACGCTAATTTTTTTTACAGCAATGTGTAAAAAAAAAATGGCACAGCAGTGCTTAAGAAAATACCTCGTGGGGGAAGGATGCAGCTGACAAACATAGAAGGTGTGAGTTTTCTGGGTAAAAATATGGTATGCAGCTGACAAACAAACATAGAAGGTGTGAGTTTTTTGGGTAAAAATATGGTATGCAGCCAACCCCACAGAGGTGAGCAGACAGAAAATACAGTAATAGCGGAGCCCTGGTGGCACAGTGGTTAAGAGCTTGGCTGCTAACCAAAAGGTCGGCAGTTTGAATCCACCAGTCGCACCTTGAAAACCCTATGGGGCAGTTCTACTCTGTCCTATAGGGTTGCTATGAGTTGGGATTGACTTGATGGCAATGGGTACAGTATGGTGTAGTAACAGCAGATATATGGAGAAGTGACTACCCTCAGGGCTGAGGAACACCACCCAAGGAAGGGCCCCACTCCCCACTTATGGCTATGATCCATATCATGTTGAAGAGGGCAATCTGACTCACTGGACTGCAGAGGCGTTGCTATGTGACAGCACTTGCTGGAAATCCATCCTCCAGAATTTTCTAGAATCTGTGCCCTTTAGGGTACTGGGGAAAGCTATGTCTGACAGGTGTCTCACTATAGGTGTTCTGCCATGAAACTGCAGAAGGGGGTTTCTGGGGGAGGTGTTGGGTGATGTTGACCACTGTGCATTCCAGGAACACGTGCTGGAGAAGTCACCTGTGTCACAGGAGTCCGGAGCTGGAGAAGCCTGGTGCTTGAGAAGCTGCAGCAGATGCTGAGAGGAGCACACTGGAACCTGGAGAAGGCCCATTTCTCCTGCAATGTCTCTCTACTGCCCTCTACTGATGAAGCCTGACATCATACTACTTAGCAAAGGAAAAATATTTAAAGGACTCAGCCCCATTTTCACAGAGCAGCCAAAAAGGGTGAATTTGGAGCTGAGAGCAATAATTGATAACTAGCACAAGTATGTTTACAAAAATCTCCACACAAGCATCTAGGTGACTTTAACTCTTTCTATCATGCAATGGACATTCTATTTGAATTCTGTTAATTATTTTTATTCATTGTAAGGATAGTTTTTCTTTCTAATCTACGAATTCTTGTGCTTACCAGAAATTTCCATTGCTCGTTCTCAGCACACACTTGTTAATTGCTGAAGTAAATGGTCTGAGAAGGCAGCGCAGCTTGTTGGTTGAGAAGACTGTGGAGCTAACTGGTTAGGTTTGAATGTGATTCTGCTTTTGTGACCTTGAGCAGGAATTTAATCTCTCTCCATGCCTCACTTTCCTCATCTATAAAGTGGAAACAATCATAATACTTAAAATTCACTGATTTATTGTGAAGGTTAAATAAGTTAATGCAGGTATCTCCTACTTCACATCAGTAATTCATTTCGGAAAGTCAGATTTTCTGCATGATGACCCTGGGTTTGTTTTATATTACTTTTAAAGAGAAAAATTGAATGTGTAACCAATCAACCCAGGAACCTGGGTGGTGCAAGTGTTTGCAATCAGCTGCTAACCTAAAAGTTGGCAGTCGAACTTACTTGGCAGCGCCACAAAAGAAATGCCTGGCAAACTGCTTCTGTAAAGATTACAGCCAAGAAAACCCTTTGGAGCAGTTCTACTGTGTAAAACATGGGGTCTCCATGAGTCAGGGGTTGACTTCACAGCAGCTAACAGAAACAATTAATTAGCCAACCCACTAAGCAATTTCTCTAATTGTAACAAAACACATTAAAATCCCTGTATATAAACCATCATATAGTATTAACTCGTATGCAAAATGCTCAGAACACCATTTCCTTGTCACCAAATAATATTAACAAGCAGGGTTTCGTATGCAGGAATATCTTTTCCATTTTAATCATTTTTTCCCCTCACTTTGTGTTCTTTTCTACAATTTTCGTTAATCCTTTTCCAACTTTGTCTGGAACTCATTGTATACTAGACAATAACAAAGACTGGATGTGACAGGCAGCAGGAAACAGTCCAGGACCTGCACACAGTGGCAGGATGGGAGAGCTTGTGGGCCCCAGCAATAACCTAAGGCACGTCCCGAAGGTGCGCCTCCTTTGTTGACAGTTATTGCATTCTTCAAAAGGTTCGTGCAGGATTCTGATCTTTTACTAATTGTATTTTGAACGTAACTTTTCCTTCAGTAAAAATGTTGTATTGAGCTATTGGGAAGTATATATAATTTTTTCCTATGTAGACATCGACCGTCTTTTTTAGCGGAGCCCTGATGGAGCAGTAGTTAGGAGCTTGGCTGCTAACCAAAAGGTTAGCAGTTCGAATCCACCAACCACCCCTTGAAAACCCTATGGGACAGTTCTACTCTGTCCTATAGGGTCGCTGTGAGTTGGAATCGTCTCGATGGTAACGGGTTTGGTTTTTTTAAACATCAACCGGAATATGTCGAATTGAGAGATTCTTACTTTCTTAGGACGTTTGGGTATTAAAAACCAGGAAGTTCTCTAGCGGGAAATGGCTAAGGTTGGGAAAGTCTTTAGAACATGCTTGGCCTGTAGAGCAAGATTAATCTTGTCAATCGTTGTAGTCATTCATTCTTTCTTCCTTTCCAGAAATATTTTTTGAGCTCCTGCTGCTGGCCAAGCCCCACGCTAGCCTTGGGGGTACAGTAGTGAATGGGATACGGTCTCTACCCTCAAGGACCTAACACTTTAGGGGAAAACCAAAGAAAACAGGTGGCGATTATGGAAGGTGCTTCGAGGGAATGCGGGGCTGCGAGAGCCCGGATTGGCGGCTAACTTCAGGGAGCAGCTGGCCGGCGAAGGCGTCGCGCGGGGACCAGCCACTCGGTCGGGCCCGCGTGGTCGGGCGCCAAAGCCTGCAAGCGCGCCGTCGGGCCCGCGCGGTCGGGCGCCGAAGCCTGCCAGCGCGCCGTCGGGCCCGCGCGGTGGGGCACCCCAAACTTCGCGCGGCTGGAGCTAGGGGGGAGGCAGAGGTCTGCGGCTGGATTCCCTAAGACCTGGGACCCAGGGGAGGGAACTGAGACTGTATTCGGTTTCCAAGTGGAAGCCGCTGAAAGCGTTATTCAGAAGGAATCTCATTGCCACTTTGGGAAGAGATCTCGCCTCGCGTGTGCGTTGTGAATTGGGGCGGTGGTGATGGGAGGAGAGGGCACGTTGTTAGCCGCGTGGAGAAGGCCATGGTAGTCAGTCTAATTCTCGCTTCCTAGCCGCCGGCGCATTTAGTAGGCACGTAAGGGACACAGCAAACCCACATTAAATAAGGCAGCTGATGGAGAGGCGCCCATGGGAGAAGCTGATGGTGGGAGACATGACGTTGGGGCCGGACTGGGCAGCGGACCTGGGTAAGAGCGAGGTCACCTCGCCAAGGTGGCAGAGAAGTCGGTTGAGACTGGACAGTCACTGACTTTTGTCCTGGAACCAACTTCACGTAATGACAACCCTCATTCAGACCTCTCTCCAAGCCACATTCTGAAGCCCCAATCCCGGAACCCGGGCAGGCGACCCCGCCCCGGAACCTGGTGTCACCGGAACAAAGGTCGAAGTTTCTTTCGTTGCCACCGGACGCAGCGGCGGCGCTTCCGGTGGTGAAAATGGCCGCGACCATTCAGGACTCACGTGCGAGTGCAGGGAAAAAGCTGAAAAACTCCCTAAAAAAGAAGAAGAAGATGAAAGTGATAGCCAGGGCTACATCATCTAAGCTGGAAGATGAGGACAAAGACGCTGCCGACGGGGGAGGTAACGTACGAGGGCTGAGCTTTGGCGGCCTGGCGGAGGACGCGGGGAGCCGGGAGGAGAGTGGGTTCGCTGCCAGCCGCCCCGGTCTTATCTCCTCATGGCTCAGTGAGAGGACTTGGGGAAGTGGTCTTCAGGGCAGGGTACCTGTCAGCTGTTATTTTGAATTTTCGTTCTTTTTGTCTGATGTTTCCGGGGTCACTGTTTCTAAACAGGAGAAACTGCTGCCGCTGCCGAGAGACTTACGGTAGTAAAGGGTGAAAAGAAGGGTGATATTTGATATTACAAGAGTGGGATAAATCTTATAGAGAGCGAGGAGCAAAAGACCAAAACAAGTGAGAGAAAGACGTGTGGTGGACTTGATGACTTTTCTTGTGCCTTAGGTCCGTGTGTGTGTTTTGGGGATAGAGATCAGATAGTAGCGAATCAATGAAGAGTAGGTGAGTAAAGTGGAATTAATAAAGGTAGCAACTGATCTCTTTCTCTTTCGGTAATGAGAAGGAACGAAGTATTTGGAGACCTTCAACAATGACTTGGGCACACCCCTCCTCTTTGCCATCATGGTTACAAGGAACTGCAGGCAGCCCCTGATTCTTACTGCCCAGTTATTGCTCCTTTGTATTAGCTGATAGCCACATAACATCCAGAGCTGTTCTTTTATAATGCGTGTTACATGATGTCAGTCAGCTGCTCAAGATGATCCCATCTCAGAATAACATCCTGGGTCCTTAGCCTGCTTGAGCTGGCTTACATTGTTCATCAGCTGCCACTCTGCCCCTCACTAGCTGCTAACTCTAATCTGCTCACACTGGTGTCCTTGCAGTTTTGTTTTTTCATGTCAAACCCCATATTGGGTTTATGTACTTGCTAGTCCCGTCACTGAGAGTATTCTTCTTCAGGTATACGTGTCCTGCTCATCCATGGTCCACTGTCTAAATCACACTTATGTCAAACGTAGCGCCACGACTCTTCTCCTTGCTTCCTGCCTTTACTTTCTGACTTACTGCCCTGCTTTATTTTTCTTCTCGGCACTTACCAAACCATCTGATGTCTTACATATTTGCTCTTGTGTCTCTTCCAACTGGAATATAATTTCATGGGAGTAGAGACTGCTGTATCCCCAGTGCCTAGAACAGTGTTTGGTGCGTAGTAGGTCCTTTACAGATATTTGTTAACTAAATAAATGTGTGAACTTGGACTTCCAAGACCAAGAAGAAGAATCTGCCATATGCTGCTACAGCCTCTAGGACTCAGAGTCCTCATCTCCTGCTGGAAGAGTTCAGGAAAACGAGCTATTTATTGAGCAGGAGTTAAGACTTCTGGTTCTGATATTTTTTGAACTCTATAGACTAATTCAAGTGGTGTTCTCAGAGAAAGAAACACGACTACATTGGGAGCAAATTATCACTATTGCTTATAGATTTGGGTGGAGGTTGAATTTCTCTATTCAAATACTGACGAATTTCAGGTTGGAACTGTTCTGATTTCTCAGTTCATTGTTAAAATATTGATTAGGTTCTAAGGTTCTCTTGCTGTTATAGATCAGTTACCTAATGGATTAAGAGGCTTTTGACTATTAGGGAAACCTGATTATCCATTTCAGTTCAGTGAACAATTCTTGTGTTTCTGTTCTGTTCCAAGCACCCTCTAGGTGTTGAGGATACAAAGGCTGAATAAAACGTGATTCCTGCTCTAGAAATACAGTCCTAAGGAAGATAGATATTAAATATAGGACTGTAATACAGTGTAATGACTAGTGTTAAAAGGTAGTTGTGGGGGGGGGAATACTAAATAGGCAATAGACAAGTGGTATCTTGGGTGAAGGGTGAGACAGTACACAATACAGGGGAAACTAACACAACCTGTACAAGGAAAGGTCATGGAGGCCCCATGGACACATCCAAACTCCCCGAGGGACTGAGTTGCTGAACGGAGGGCTCTGGGGACCATGGTCTCGGGGAACATCTAGCTCAATTGGCATGACACTACTTATAAAGATAATGCTCTACATTCTACCTTGGTGGGTAGTGTCTGGGGTCTTAAAAGCCTGTGAGCAGCCATCTAAGATACTCCACTGGTCTCATCCCTTCGGGAGCAAGGGAGAATGAAGAGAACAGGATACAACGAAAAGATTAGTCCAAAGGACTAATTGTCCACAGCTACCAAAACCTCCACCGGACTGAGTCCAGTACAGCTAGATGGTGCCTGGCTACCACCGCTGACTGCTCTGACCAGGATCACAACAGAGGGTTCTGGACAGAGCTGGAGAAGGATGTAGAGCATAATTCTAACTCACAAAAAAAAAAAAAAAGAAGACCAGATTTATTGGCCTAAAGGAGACTGGAGAAACCCCGAGAGTATGGCCCCCAGACACCCTTTTAGCTCAGTGGTGAAGTTACCTTCGAGGTTCACTGTTCAGCCTGGGAGTGGACAGCCCAGTAAAACCATGAGAGTAACGAGGTACAGGAGTCCAGTGACAAGGGCCAGAAGGCAGAAGGGGACAAGGAAGCTGGTGATAGGGAACACAAGACTGAGTAAAGATATTGTTGATGTGTTGTGAGATTGTTAACCATTGTCATAGGGCAACATTTGTAGTAACTGTTAAATGGGAGACTATTTTGTCCTGTAAGCCTTCATCTTGAGTGAGAATAACGGCACAATTAGAAGAGCGTAGTCAATGTCACTTAAATGTGTATGTAAAAAAATTTTTTGAAATGGCGTATCTTTGGCTATGTGTATTTTCACAAAAAAAAAAAAGTTTAGAATTTAGAGGGTTAAAATGTTGTGGGGTTGTTAACCAATGTCATAAAACAGCATGTGTGTTACTGTTACATGAGAAACTATCTGTTCTGTAAGCCTTCACCTGAAGTACAATAAAATATTAAAAAAAAAAAAAAGGTAGTTGTAAAGGTAATTACCAAGATAATGGTCCAATCAAAAGTGATAAGGATGGAGACAGAGAAATTCATATCTATAGAATCCTGCCTAGGCATTGCTTCTTTGTACCTTACATGTATTTCTACTATTACTCATAGTATACTGTGGTATTATGATATCTTAGCATGTCTCTCTCCTTATGGATGTAAGTTCTTCAAATGCTGCAGTTATGCCTTGTCTTTATTTTCACCGGGCCTTGCACGTTTTGGTATCCAGTAAATTTTCTTGTTGAGTGAATGAATGGAGCTCTGGTGGTGTAGTAGTTAAAAGCTCAGCCGCTAACCAAAAGGTTGGCAGTTCGAATCCACCAGCTGCTCCTTGGAAACCCTATGGGGCAGTTCTACTCTGTCCTATAGGGTTGCTATGACTCAGAATCGACTCAACGGCGATGGGTTTAGTTTTTTTTTTTTTGCACATTTTAGTATTCAGTAAATTTTCTTCTTGAATGAGTGAATAAAGGGACATTTCATCTCAGCCTTAGAAGATAAATAGTTTTCTAGGCCAGGGAGTGGAGAGGACAGTTTTCTCACACATGGGGAAAATCATACACAGTGGCATGTAGTCAGTTAAAGTGCATGGCCTGTTTAGGACAAAATAAATTATCTGCTGTGGCTCTCATTTAGCTATTCAGAGAAGTGACTGTAAGTGACGCTGGGAACAGGTTAGCGCCAGCTTGTGAAGGGCCTGGTGTGCCGTGAGGAGGAGATTGGTTTCTCTCTCTGTAGGCAGTAGGGAGCTACTGTGTGCTTTTAAACCAGAAAGTGTCACATGTTGATAAACATTACTGCTGGCTTGATGGTGACTGCCTTAGAGTGCGAGAACAATTATTAGGCACTTGGAAAACTCCATGTTAGGGCCTGCACTAGGACGGGGGCAGGGAGAGGGGCCTTACTTGAAATATTTTTCAGGGAAGAAATTACTAAGCTTGTTTAGCACCATAAATTTTGGGCATTCTATACTATTAGGGGAATTAGATAATCATAATAATACGTTTTTTTTTAATTTTATGATGTGCCAGATACACATCACAGATACACACAGCAATCTTATGAGATAGATACTATTATTACCTCCATTTTACATGTAAGAAACTGAGGCACAGAGAGGTAACCTGCTCACTTCAGTCTGTAAGCTGCTAAACAAGTTGATAAGCGGCACAGCCGTTACTAGCAGTTTGACTCCAGAGCCTGCACTTCTGACCCCTACCCTGATATAGGTGAGGAACCAAGAGCACAGAGATCGTTAAAAAAAAAAAACAAAAACAGAGCGTGAAAGGGTAGGACCACGGACCATGGCATCTGAACAGATGAAAGAAGAGTTTGGGAACAAGGAGACTTTGATGTCAAGACAAACTTCTCTCGCACTCAGGAAGGTTCCATTGCTAAGGGATATTTTTGTGATCAGATTTCTATAACGCTCCTTCCAGTGTTCATAGCTTAGCTTGCTTGCTTACTTGCTTGCTTCATTCCTTTCTCCCTCCCTGCCCCTTCCCTTTTCTTCTTTACTTTCTTTCTGACCTTCCCTTCTAAATATCTTATTTCTAAAAACTCAATACCACTTACACTTAACTGTATAAGAAGCCCCCGGTTTGGCACTTCCTTTTGGAGTGACTTCGGGTTAGCTCTTTCCTAGTGTCTGCCTCTGTTGCCTTCTCGGTAAAGTGAGGGCGATAGTAGTGTCTGTCTGCAGGGCTGCTGTGAGGACCGAACGAGTTCCTGTATGTAACAGCGTCCGTGTTGGGCCTGCTGTGAGGACCGAATGAGTTCCTGTATGTAACAGCGTCCATGTCGGGGCTGCTGTGAGGACCGAATGAGTTCCTGTATGTAACCGCGTCCGTGTCGGGGCTGCTGTGAGGACCGAATGAGTTCCTGTATGTAAAGCACTCAGTGGTTTTCACCCCACAGTGGTGGTGGTGGTGGTGTTGGGTGCCATCAAGTTGATTCCAAATCATGGCGACCCCATGTGACAGAGTGGAACCATTTCATAGCGTTTTCTTGGCTGTAGTCTTTACAGAAGCAGGTTGCCAAGTCTTTCTTCTGTAAAGCCACTAGATGTGTTCAAACTGC